TCTCGTACTTGATCTTAATAAAAGTTTTCATTACAAACTGTTTAGAAATGAAGTCGTTAGAATGATGACACTGAATCGCTTAGCGAAGAGACAGAATTGAACTGACATTGATATTGATACAACTCTAACAAAATGTGCACTTCGCTTGGCCTACACATTTTCTATTTATTATGAGGCTAATTCTACTAAAAAGCATATAAGAAATGGCAATAATGGCCTTGGGATAGTTCATCAGGTTTGTTTTCAGATTAATCGGAGACATGTATTCTTTAAATGGCAAAATATTTACTGACCACGCCGATTGTATAACTCTCAAACAAGGAACACTACAGACTCCCTTCATTTAGCACTAAGCTTAATCTTTACTTACAACGAGACTGATAAGGATGACTTTCTAAAAGATGTATGACAAGGGTGATTATTTTCATTTTCAGATAATGATCTGTCCCTTACTTGACAACAACATTCTTGCTTCCCCTACTACAATGTTTAAATGTTCTAGTTGACTCGATATTCACTCCAAACATCACTATTCCCAGTGAAAGTTGTTGCATACTTACTAACTTACAACACATAGTGTAGAAGATGGAGGTTAATGAAGGCTGAAGGCATGTTTACGTTTACCATCATGGTACCATTGGGAAATATTCTATTGAACCACGACGCTAATGAATGTTCGTCTGACGTCATGTTACCCTAACTATTGTGGTAAATAAAAAATCAACATAAAATAAAATAAATAGCTTGGTATAGTGTTGTTGCTTTCTGTGATTGTAGATGAAAGGATAATGATATCAAAATTCTTTATCGGGATGCTACTTTTAGGATGTTATATTTACTTTGTCCGGGCGTTTGGGGCTTATTCACCCTAATAGTAGCGTGGCTATTAAATAGATACAATGAAATGTTCAAATCAAATCAGAAGATAGCATTTTTGAGAAGGGATTCTGGTAAACTGTTAAAAGGAATATGATTGTTCCCGGTTTTTTTTTTTTCAACAATTCCGAATTCAGTAAGGTATCGAACACCTTATTCACAAAACATTCATATTCTAAGTAGGTATCCAACTGGAGGGTGAATTCAGAAAAGTGTTGAACGTCCAACAGACAATTGTTCTTAACGTACGCTCGTATTTGTTCTAAAACATCTTGGAATGTACATGTATGTCAAAACTGCGCAATTACATTAAAAATATCAAGTGAATTAATGTATATGGATTGGATTATTTTTTCTGTGTGTTTCGAACAAAATGTATCCGACTTTTGATTTTAATGAAACTATTCAGACGTTTTAAATGCTTTAGGAGAAACTTCTGGTTTATTTGCCTTCGCCTATTGAGTGACGAGATTTAAAAGTACTTATGCCAGTTCATGTGTCTCGTTCGTTTTTCCTGTTAATAGAATTTATGTTTTGTGTTCTGTCAGTGAATACTGGACACATGCACTGTATATCATGACGTAGTTTTTGTTGTCTTGTCCTTGACGTTTGCTTCATATAATTCTTTATTTGTTTCACGAGGATTACGAACAGCCCAAGGGCTACTAGTTGTTTTCCTCACATTTAACAAACAAGTGAACGGTACAGCATTTACATTATTAACATACAGTACAAAATACAGGAAATGCATGAACATTTACACTGGTCATTCGCACCACTTCATGACACATACACACCCACACACAACACACAAACACACACACACAAACAGACAAATAAACGGAGAACAATAAGAAGGAAGAAAGACAGAGACAGACAGAGAGAGGGAAAGAGAGACAGAGATATGATGTGAGGGGAAGACAGACAGACAGAGCGGGGGAAAGAGGGGAGGGGGAAGAGACAGGCAGACAGACAGAGAGTCTACTTGAATAGATTTCTTCCCTCGATAAATTTAAAGACAGACTGAAAAATGTGGGTATCGGTCTGTTGGTCAAGAGAGTTTGAGCCGTTAATAAGTGATGTACAGAGCTGATCAGGTACTAAATTAAGCACAGTGTCTGGATTTACGTTTGGTGATATAATTCTAGATAAAGTTTGTAATAGGGTATGTCTGACATTCTGGTATTTTAGACAGTAAAGAAAGAAATGCTTTTCGTCTTCAATCACATTTAAACAGTACTTGTTGGGTGTAAGATTATATGAAAATCTGTGTTTGTTAAGAGCACTTAGTCCCATTCTTATACGTGCATGATTTATTTTGTGTTTGCCATGGCCATATGAAAAGATGGGATTTCGTTTAGTATCTGAAGATTTAGGAGAATTTCGAAATAGTTGTAAGCTTCCGGATGTTTTAATTTGTTCTGGTACATGTAGGTTATTCCAATCTCTGATTGTCTTAGGAAAAAAGGACTGATAACAAAATCATGTTTTTAATAGCTATGGAAAGGATTGTGTTCATATTTCTAAAATTATAGTTGTTAGTTCGGTGGCTTTGAAGTGGACATAAGTGATGAAGGTATGAAGGACAGATATTGTGTTTTATTTTGTACAATAGGGTAAGACGATGATGATTCCTGCGATCTTAAACGGTTTCTCATCCTAAATTCAGATAATAATTAAGAATATTTAGTTACTTTGTACGCACCGGTGCACATCAGTGCAGCTCTACGCTGAACACATTCTAAAAGATGGGATTCTGCTTGCGTGCAATTATCAAATAGAATATCACCATATTCTAATGTTGATCGAACAATATATTTATATAAAGCTTCCATCCACGAACGAGGAATAATATAACATAAAGTAACGAAAATATTTAGAATTTTGTTTGCTTTTGTAACTAGATCAGAGATATGAGATGTCCACAGAGTTTTAAACCAAGATGCTTGTGTGTAGAAACTCGCTTTATAGCTATATTATGTAATTTGATAGTAGGTGTTATTATGTTTGGTTTCTTAGAAAAATTACAAGTTCTGTTTTGTTTGGATTGTAAGTAATTAGCCATTTGTTTGCCCATAAAGATATTTTTTGTAAGTCATTGTTACGCATTGTTACAGAGGTTTCGTTTAAAAGTTCTTTAGAAAGAGATGTGGCATCAACAAAGAGGCTTATATCACATTGTAAGTAATGGATAATCTCATTTATGTAAATTAGAAAGAAAAGAGGACCTGAAATAAATCCCTGTGGAACCCCAGAATTTGTATACATAGAACTTGAGACTTTACCATTAAGAACGACGAACTGCTGTCTATTATTTAAGTAACTTGAGATCCAGTTAAATAGAACTCCATCTATACCTATACTTTGGAGCTTATACAGTAACCCATGGTGCCACACCTTGTCAAAAGCCTTTGATACATCTAAAAAAAATAAACAAACGTCTTTCCCATTATCCAGTGACTGATAAATTTTATGTACTATTTTAACAAGCTGATTAATAGTAGAATCATTTTTTTTAAACCAGAATTTTCCTCTATTAAAATATCATGTTCTTTACAAAAGTCATATATATGTTTATACACTATTTTGACATTTTGATGTATAAGACAGTAGAGATATGGGTCTGTAGTTGTTTACTTACTTTTTACAGCCTTTTTTGTATACAGGACAAACCTGGGATTTTTTCCAAGAAGTAGGGATGACACCACTTTGGAGGGATTTATTAAATATAGTAGCCCATAATTTACTTAGAGGTTTAACACAATATTTAAGAATGTAACTACTCAATCCATCAGGATCTGTTGATTTTTTAATATTAGCAGACTGAAATAATGTCTGTACCTCATCGGGAGTTGTCTGTATATGGTCAGGAGTATTGTTTGTTGTAGTTATTGGTGGCAGAATTGGTTTTGACATATTGTCAGGTATGGTGCATTGTTCAGAAAAAATATTTGTTAAAAGCTTCTGACTTTAATCTGTCATCAGAAATTAGTTCGTTATCCACTACAAGTGGGGGTATAACTGTATCAGATTTCTTTCCCATTAGAGCTTTAGATATCGACCAAAATTGCTTGTTGTTAGAATTGCTGGTACTGAGTTTGTTGAAAATATATTCGTTGTAACGGTTTAATTGCATTTTTTTCTAGCACGGTTTGCTTCCCTACGCGTGCGAAAAAAAACTTAATTTGTCCATATCACTTTTACGCTCTTTTGAAACGTTGAAAAGCCCTATTTCAACGTCTGAAAAACTGTCTTACTTCATTTGTCATCCACGGCTTATCACGGGGTCGGATAGTGACTATTTTATTTGGTATGAAACTTCTACATGTATTCATTATGAACTGGGTGGCATTATCAACTACGTCATCTAGGTCGTCAAAGATATTTAGAACAGTATCTAAGTGGGAATTTTCGAGGATAGTATATAGATTTAGAATGTCTGTTGACTAATAGTCCCAGATTTCTCTTTGATATGATTGGGGTTTATGGATTTTGAAATTTAATTGAACGAAAATTGTATTGTGATCTACATGTAGATTGGACAAGGGGTCAAGTACACCACTTTCAGTGACAAGGTTGAGATTATCAATAGAGAAAAGGTCCAAGATGTTTGAAGTATTTTCAGTATAACGTGTGGGCTCCGTAATGAGTTGGTACAAATTGTTTTGATGCGATATATTGTATAACCTTGAACCTAGTTCACTATTTACGTGAGAACCATTCCGTTCTTTACATTGATCATTGATGTCGCCTCATAAGATAAAAGTTTCTGGACGGTCGTGCCGCATTTTGTCAAGATTTTCAGTAAAGTAATTGAGGAAAGAATTTCGAGTTTCTGAAGTTTGAATTGGTGGCCTATATATTGTGCCGATAAATAGTTTATGAGGATGCTGGGACAGCTCTAAAAATATGCTTTCAACTTCATTTGATTCAAGGTCAAATCTACGTCTACACGAGATAGAATCACGTATGTAAATAGCAACACCTCCCCCATGTCTGTTTCTATCTCTACGGAACAACTGGTAGTTTTGGATGTTTAGAACAGAGTTCTCTATGGTTGACGTTTGCTTGTCAGTGTGACTCTATGTCGTACTTTTTTTTATGATATTATTTTGTTATTTCAGATCTGTCAACATGTCGATCGGTCTCCTCACCTCGACCATCCAAGTCCTTAAAAGGGTCACGGACCAAGCGCAACCCTACGTCATATCATTCGGCGAAGGACTGACGACCATGATGGATGCGGGGAGTGAGAAAAATTTTAAGCATCTCGCAACGAAAAAGTCCAGATGGCAACTGATGCGTCTGAGTGCAGCCGTGTGTGGCATAGAGCTATGCTACGCCGCGGAAACAGCTTTCGTCAGTCCGATCTTACTAAAACTAGGGGTTCCAATATCCCTTATGACACTTGTGTGGTGTGTTAGTCCCTTAATGGGTTTCATTCTTGTTCCGCTCCTCGGATCCCTTAGTGACCGCTGTAGATTGCAATATGGCCGTCGAAGACCTTTTATTCTACTTTTATCAGCTGGAATAATTCTCGGATTAATATTAGTTCCGAACGGAGAGACACTAGGCGAGTACATAGGAGACAATGATTCACATCATGTGAACAGAACTACGTTAAACACCAGTTTATATGACGCATTTAATGATACAAATCTAAGCGACACGCAAACAGAACAGCCAATTAATTCTACATTAGATTCTGAGTGGCACATTCCTAAAATCCCTGATAATCACGTGTCTGGAATCGTTTTAACAATATTTGGCGTAGCATTATTAGATTTTAGCAGTGATGCGGCTCAATCTCCTTGTAGGGCTTACTTACTTGATATCAGTATTTCAGCAGATCATTCCACAGGTTTGACATCATTTACCGTATTGGCCGGTCTGGGGGGTTCCATCGGTTACATAATGGGAGGAATAGATTGGAATAAAACAAACTTCGGGAAGTCATTTGGTGGTCACACAAGGGTAGTGTTTACCTTGGTGCTTATTGCATATATATTTTGCGTATTGATAACTGTTACAAGTTTTAAGGAAGTACCTCTTGACGAGTTACGAGGTGGCAAGGCGGAACAAATGCAGAGAAAAAAGAAGAAGAAAGGGAAATCAAAATACAAGAAATTTGTGAACGAAGACACGTCATCTTCTGAATCAGAAGATGAGTATAGAAGCAATAGTCAAACTCTTAAACAGTCAACGTCTGCAAGCTATGGCACTTTGGATGAGAGTATAACCGGGAGTAGGTCTACGAAAACGAGTAGTTCAATTGACCAATCAGTTTCCAGAATGAAATCAGGAAAGAATCGAGAACCCTTTGAGTCAAGTTCTACCGAAAATAGTACCGGAAGATGCAAAAATACTTTCGGCGAAAGTATTCAAGGAAGTAGGTTAGGAAAAAGCCGAAAAAGTACAAATGAAGACGAAGCGAGAGAAATATTAAAACAATCAATTAATAAAAAATCTTCTAGAAAATATTCTTTGGAAGATGAATTAATTGTACAAAATGGTGGTGCTCGAAGAATCTCAGATGACACCGGTCTTGAAAATGACAAAACTGTAACAGTAACTTCGAACCCCGAGGCGTCAGTCAACAATATAGTAACATATTCGACGGAAGTGACGTTAAAAACGTATCTGTTATCAATCATTCATATGCCTCGGTCGATCGCCATCTTGTGTCTGACCAACCTGTTTTGTTGGATGTCATTGGTTTGTTACTCGTTGTACTTTACAGACTTCGTTGGTCAGGCGATATTCGAGGGTGACCCCCAGGCTCCAATGGGAAGTGTGAAACACGAACTTTACGACGAGGGAGTGCGATTAGGATCGTTCGGAATGTCTCTGTACTCTCTGTCATGTGCAATGTATTCGCTGTGTATAGAAAAGCTCGTCGATAAATTTAGTAAGTATTCAACAATTTGCATCAATACTATACACATTTTTATAATCAAATTAAGTTTAAAATACATGTTAACCTGGTAAGAAATTGCTGCTTCCAGCCGATTCTGCTATGGAGTATTTCTTATTAGCTCATTCTGTAGAGGGTCGGTCAGGCTACGTCTAGTACACAAGAGGTCCAGGGTTTGATTCCTAGCAGAGGCTTGAAAATAATGACCTCTGTTACATTGGCGTTCACATAGGGACCCATGAAATATGGACAGAAAGGATCTGCCTTTCTCTTGCAAGTATCGCTACTACCCCTTCAAAAACTCGACACGTTCTTTCCATGAGGTGAGTATGTCACCCTGGCAAAGTGCTTGCAGCTTCCTACCGACTCAATTACGGATTTGTTTCTTTCGCTTAATTATTAGGGCATAAGATTAGTAACTTTGAGGTTCCGGGCTCGATCCCTAGCGAATCATTGAAAAATTAATGATATCTGTTGCATTAACATTTATTATTTTAATTTCCATAGTGTCAATATTTAAAAGATGGATAATAAAATGCATATTTAGTCATCCTCGATAAACCACAAGTACGCGAACGAATCAAGTTATCTGTGAGTGAAAATGTTTTTCATTAGGTTTTAGATAGCAAAAAACACCAACAGCATTCCAAAAGCTTATTATAGCGAACACAACTTAAAATTAGCATAACTAAGACATAAACTAAAGTACTTAATAAAAGGAACCAGAATTATTCGAGCCGCAATTAGGAGTAATTTAATGAACGAAAGTAATGTATAAAATATAAAAAAGTACAATTATTTTTAAAGTGCCAGATATGAACTTTTGTAGTTTAGATTCGAATACCTCTAAAATTTTCATTGAAATCTTAACGTTGCTATTGATTCAGAAGAGTACACAGGACAAATTAATGCTGATGCAAGTTAAAAACATGACGTTTGCTTGCTCCGCCGTGTTCTGTGTTAACGTATGCTACGCTAGCACAACTTAATTTACTCTTAATTTAAACACACCAGACAACATGACACGCACATTTATTTTTAGCCCCCGGAACTGGCAATCCAAAATGGCGCCTACATGTCTTGCATACTGAAAAAGCTTAATGAGACAGACGTGGTGTCGTTAAGGAGTCGTCTTTATCGCCAGCACTATACTGAGTACAAAGTTGATTTGAAATGTATACTTAGCATACAAAAATAGGAAAGGCCGACCGCTAATACCAATTTACAGCCCTGATGGATTGCTTCGTTATTTTAGTATTATCATTACACCAGACACATGGGGAGAGAAAATCTGTTTTCATTTGATAAGGAAATGGGTATTTAGGCGAACAAAGCGTTACTCTATCACATGTTGTCGTGAATAAACAGCGACTACGATGAAATCTGTACGACAGACAGACACTTAATTAAGTTTCAAGCATCCGTTTATTTAGCAAGCATCATACTAGGTTGCGATCGATCCACCTTCTTTATCGCATCGCGTGCCAACATGCCAAGGGCAAATAATTCGATGATTTTGTAATAAGAATCATTCTACGAAATATCGATGATCTGAATTCTTCAAGGTCTGTATTTAAGTTAACCAAATTATATCGATATTTTTGTTATTTGATTTGTTTCAAAAATGGATGATTTTTTTTATTAATCCTTTTCACATAGAACATTTTTAATATGTTTTGCGTGTATGCGAACTTCCTCCATTGTTCTGAAACTATCCGGATCACGTTGGCGAATAATTATTATCAGACGAGAACGAAAGCTTTATTTTGACAATACCTAGAGGAAATCCTGACTTGCCAACGAAAACAATGCGACATCTGTCTATAAACCTAAGAATCACATGCAGTGTCAAAGTATGCATGCTTCAAATGGTTTATTAACATATTCAGTTGTTAATCTGTGGATTCGACAACAAAACCTCGAAACACAATAGAAGCAAACTCAACTTGTTCATAATATTCATTTGACAGCTTTCACGTAAATCATGATTGTAAAGACATACTGATTTTAAAATTGAATGATAAACAGAAAATATTCTCATGTTTTTACAGGGTGGGCTTGAAAGTAGGAAAACGTGCTTTACACTCATTCTTTCATCGATTCATTTCTTTCGGCAGATCATTTTGAAATGCATCGTGTCATTTGACTCAAAAAGTAATAGACTCAATGCTTAGCTCTTTATGGGTGAGTTCACAGAATAGTTTGTACATCTCAAAAATGGCGGCGAGCTACACTCTTCGTAAGTTTGTACCTCACCTCCCGTTATAATCAAAATACATTATGTACATGTATAATAACTATCTTACGCTATTGTATGCCATATATCGCTAATACCGCTTTTGTGATCTGAAAGTACCACAAACACTGTCACATATTTACACGATATCCCACGCGATAATTGAGTACATTTTCATAAAGTTATTTACACAAACTGTATAGGAACAGTATGGTGGTATATGTATACACATTTTCCTCCAGTTGAACGATCAACGAAAGGCGATTATTTGAAATTGGCTTAAAGTTTGTTTTATCATCATTTGGTGTAGAACTGTATCCATGATTATAATATCAATTATGCACGTTAGGTCAACCTTTCCGGAGTTTTTGAATGAATGATTCAGTAAACATTTAAAGGGACTATTTCCAGCTATGTTAAGTTTACATAGGAGCATGCCCTCTCATAATTTTTGTTTCAGAAGTGCTACGAGCTTTATGCTGCTTTTTTTAACTCTTTTCAATCCTTTATACATCCGATGTTAGTACTTTGAATCACTCTACTAATTATTTCTATGATTAATTAACCTAATTACAGCATGGGGTCGGAAAATGGAATATCAGCCTGAAAGTATTATTCTGAAAAAACTGTATTGTTTGCATAGTAATACTTAGGAAAAAACATGTTCTTTCATGTAGCCTTTTAATAATATATTTATCATCCAGAAAGTGAGTTAAATCGATCATTTTGTGAAACATTTTAATTTTAAATATATGATTTTTCATTCTAATTATTCTTTTATACCTAAAATTTTCATAGTATGAAGAAGTGGTGTTATTTCAAATATGTATGCAAAACTTCAGTGGTGGAATGGATGCATTTCACACAACAAAGAACCCTATGTACCCAAAAAGGTGAGGGCATAAGACATTTCCCTGGCGTCCATCAAAAAGTAATGTACCTGATTACAGGTAATTGGTAATGAAATTCGTTGCAAGCCTACATTAAACCTTTCAGTGGATGTTAGGTCACCACAAATTCCAAATTATTCAAATATGCTTGATCACTTGACGTGATTGATAAAAAAAATGTTACCACTCAATTTTAAGATCAAATATAATATCCTTGTTACTTTTTAGAATTTGTTCTTATACATTTCATCATCAGACTGTCGTTTTTACATTGCTTTTAGGGGACATTTCATACTCATTTGTTAATATTCATCTCATAATGAAGAGTAAATGTATTGGTGAAGGTCGTCATCGTATCTTTGCAAAATTTCGTAGATGGAAAGGAAAACAAAATATTAAAAAATCCATGATATAAATGATTTTTGGTTATACTGACTAAAAGTGGCATAGATTGCTCAAATGAAGAAGTAAGTATTTGTCCGAAGTGCTACATAAGGTATTTGCGCAACAGAGAATCTTAAAAATAACGTATTGAAGATTAAACTACTAAAACTTTTCCTCTCTTAACAATCAAGGACCTGTTTTATGGGTCCTGTTCACATACAAAAAGTTGGCTTTGTTTTAACAATTTTAATTCGAAGGGAAGCAAATCCACAATTCTGCAAAAACTTGTCAGGAATTAGTTAATTTTCACACACAAATTGTGGTGTTCTGCGTCATCACCTGTATTCTCATTTCTTCTTATTGGCAATGACCTGAACCATTGTAGACAGGTTATAATATAAGGAAGAGGGTCTTTGAATTCTCAATTATTGTTTAGGTCATCTGAAATAATTGATGACCTTTTAGAAGTGTCGTACATCTTATCAAAGTATCAATTAGTCTTCACCCTCAATTTTTGTTTCTTGGATGACCCTGACTGCAAAGCTTGCACAGGTTGATCAAAGAACGGTTTGTAAAAATTCATTCATACTTTATCATTTTTCTTTCTTCTTCAGCATAGATCAAAACTACACAAAATGCTATTTTACTGTTTTGGGTTATGATGAAAACTGATATCTCTTGTAATTAAGTGTTCCGCTCTCTTTGTCATTTCCATGCCTGGTATTTCAAAAACCTTTCATTCTGTAGTACAAGCATTGAATAAATCTATAGTTCCAGTGTTCCGTGGTCCTAACCATTTGAGTAGGGGACATATACTTTATTCTCAGAAACATTCTTTGGAGACAACGTGACTGCCTTAATAGATGAGTCATATATTAAAATCCAAAAAAGTGCTGACCATAAGCTTCAGAGAATGTCTTACGGTGGCCAGGAGGAGCGTAATTATCTTAAATTCATGAGCATAGCTCTACCTGATGGCTTCACTTTGGACACAGTAGGACCCTTCTCTGGAAGCCAAAATGGTGCAAGCATTACAAAAAAAAACATTATGGACAAGCTCACATGGTTGGAGCAAGACGACAATGTCGTCGTTTATCGTGGCTTTAGAGATGTCCTGTCAATGTTAGAGGCATCTGGTATTAATACCAGTATGCCCTTATATCTTAAGACTTGTCAGAGCCAACGCTCTGATCTACAGGCTAACATTGACAGAACAGTTACTAAATCCTCATGGATTGTAGCATGGCCTTCTTTAGCATTGGATAATTTTAGAACTCAAATAATATCAAATTGCTTCATTGATATAATTAAGAAAGCGCTAAGATTGTGACTGCATGTCTCAACTGGATACGGGGACCAATTTATCAAAGATCACCGGAAACTGACACAAAAGACAGAGACCTTGCACATCAAATGAAGTTTCTACTTACAAAAGGAAATTGTTTGGCTCAGAGGTTGAAAACAACTAGCTCTCTACAAGAGAG